GCTTGTCACCACTTCCCTCAGCTGCTGCCGGCATTAACTTTCCTGGTAACGTTGGTTTATCCCCTTGATCCTGACAGGAAGCGGGAGGCAAGGGAAGCATCCCTTGGGAATCGCCGCCACACGCGCCCAGCTTTAATTAGGGATGGAAAACCTCGGCCGACAGCCGCGCGGGACCGGCGCTGCGAGGGATTAGCACCGCCATGGAATCATCGGGGAGCAAAACGCTCCCATGCTGGTGATGCCACGAGGCCGGCACCGGGAGGAGGGGGTTGGAGAGCAAAAGGGGGCACGCTGGGGGGGCAGAGGTGTGGGATGCAGTCACCTCATCTGATTAAACCTGGGATTAATCAGCTCCATCCGGTTGGATGTGGGATCACAGCTCTCGCTGCCGCGGTGCTCTGCTGGCTCCATCAGCATTGACCACCGGCTCCCAGCCCGGCCAGGGTTAAACCATCAGCTTCTCCTGCTAATTAATAATCCACTTGATTAGGAATTACCAGTCAATATGTCACCAGCACAAGGACAGCAGCCGGGGACGCTGCTCCACGGGGCCATCCTCTTCCCCGCTGAGCTCCGTGTGCTGCAGCCACATCGCTTTGTGCTTAACCTACATTTGCTTTTGTCCTGGCTGGAGCATGCCCGGGGCTCCGTGTTCAGCTCAGCACAGCGTGGCTCGGCGTGGCTCAGCATCCCACCTAGCACTGCCATGCCTCTGAGCATCAGAAGCAAAGGGATTCAATCCCAGTGTTCCCCCGCTGCATGCTGATGGGTGGTGCCCTGATGCACCCCCAGGGACACTCATCGCCCTTTCCCTCCCACGACCCTAAAAGATGCCAATGAGTTCCCTCAGCGTCACCCCTGGGGCCTGGGTCCCGGGTCCCTCTTTAAGCCCCATCTCTGGGGGGCTGCACCCTCCCCTTGCACAGCACAAGCCCTTTGGGGGGAGTCACAGGGACCCTGCGAGCCTAGGAAGGGGATCCGCTGGCTGCAACCCCCTGGGAAAGGACCCGTGGGATGGGGATACAGCTGTAACGAACGGTGCTGAGGGCTAATTATCACTAATTATCACTCCCAAGGGCTAACACCCTGCCAGCGCGGTGGCTGGTGACACGGATGCCACCAGGGTGCTTGCGGCAGTGCTGAGCTCTGCCTATTTTTATCTCCTTGATGAAGTTGCTTGGGTCGCTTCCATCCCCAGCAGCTTTAACAGCCCCGGATGGGACCTGCCGGTGCCGCCCCGGCTTTGTGCAGCGAGGACGGAAGAAGCGAGGCAGCGCCTGCTGCAAAGTCCCCTCTGGAGGCTGCTGGAGCTGGGTGCGGGGTTGTGGTGGGGAGAAAACACCTCCGTGGGGACAAGGGATGTGTATTCCCATGGTGGTTTCTCTCCCCTTGGATGAGGAGGGGATGAGCCTCACCCCTGTCCCAGCATCATCCACCCCAGGATGCAGGCACTGGATGGTCCTGCCCCAGCTACAGCCTTTCCCCATGGCTTTAGGACAGCTTCAGCCACCCTTTGGATGCTGCACCCCTAAGCAACACCTCCTCACTCCCTTTCCTTCCATCCACCTCCGGGATAACCGAATGCAGGGGGAGCATTCCCTGCTCATGGTTCTGCTCTGGAGCTGGGATGAGGTTTTCCAGCTCGGTTGCAGCAGGGCAGATTGGTGCTGGGGAAGGGGCCGAGGCAGCGCAGCCGGTGCCGGTAACGCGGCAAGAAGGGGCCATTGTGGTGAGGCACAGCTGCACGGTGCCGGGAGCAGCGGGAATGCCAAATGCCAGTGGATGGGAATGGCTCGGGGGATTCACCACCCCCCGGTGACAATACGGGCTTTATGGGGAGCACCGCTGCCACGTCCCAGGAGCTGCTGGGGCCCAGCAGCTGCCCCGATGGGGCCATGTGAGTCCTGTCCGGTGTCCCCATCGCTTTCCCATCCCATGACCCCCGTTCCTGCCCTGTCCCATGTCCCCCTGCACAGCCCCACTCAGCAAAGCAGGGCGGTGGTGCTGGGTGCTCCGAGGACCTGCTCCCTGGGGAACTTGGGCTCCTCTCGAGGCTGATGGAGACGGGTGCTGGAAGCGGTGACAAAGTGACACTGGGGATGTGTCCGTGCCCTTCCCAGCTCTCCTCTGTGACCTGGCGGCAGCGGCTCCTGTTTCTCTTGCCGAGCCCTAGTGAATTATTCAGGCTCTGCCTCTCTGAGGATGCTCCCCCTGGCCTGGAGCGGAGCCCCCTGCACCGGCCGCGGATGGGGATATGGATGTGCCGGCCGCTGAGGTGGGATGAGCAGTGGGAGAGGGAGCGGGAGGAGATGTGAAACCTCCCCAAGCGTGGGGTGATGCTCAGCGTGCGGGAGAGGAGCCTCTGCAAAGCACCATTTCATTTCATTGAAAGGCGAGGAGGAGGGAAGGGGGAGCGGCAGCACATGAGCTGGCCCAGATCCTGTTTCTGCTCTTTTTCATTCTGTATCCGTGCAGTGCCAGCTCCTATTCCCACTGATCCGTGACGGCTGCTCCATCCACACCGGCAGAGATGTGGCTGTGCTGACATGAGCCCTGACGTGGCCCCCAGTGGCTGCTGCGACCCCACGAGGGTTCGGGATCCAGCTCTGGGGTTGAGAGTGAGGTGGAGAACTGTGCGATGCAGGGACCATCCCCGAGATGCTTCTCAGAGGCAGGAAGTGAGGGTTTGTGTGCTGGGCGCACTGGGGTGTACCGGGGAGCCCTGGGGAGCAGGCTGCACCCCACATGCCCACCCCAGCCTGCCACCCCTCGCAGCACCTTCAGTAATGGGCTGAGTGGGGTGAGCACAGCAGGGATGCCACAGCAACGGGAACATAGGATGAGACAGGGATGGGGCTGCAGAACAGGACAGGAATGGGGACATGGGACAGGACAGAAATGGGGATGCAGAACAAGGCAGCAATGGGGACACGTGACAGAGCAGGAATGGGGACACAGGCCAGCAATGGGGCTGCAGAAGCAGGCAGTGATGGGAACACTGGGGACACTGCCACATTCTGCTAAGGCTTCCCCAGCTCCATTCACCACCTCCCCCTGCTCCGTCCCCATCTCCTCAGCCCACAGGGCCGTGCTCTCTGTTCCTGGCTCATGGCTTGTGTCTCATTGCTGCGGGTGGCCACCAGGCACAGATGAGCTGTGGAGGGTGATTTATGCCGGGCAGGTTGGTGCTGCAACTGTCTGGGAGGGCGGCAGCAGCTGCTCCGGCTGCTCCAGCACAAGGGGGGCAGCAGGAGGTGGGGCTCGGGGCAGGGCATGTCCTGGGGGTGTCATGGAAGGGGGTGGTAGGGCTGAAGGGGAATGGGGACGAAGGGGGGGCTGAGTTCTGCTTCAAAGCCACTGCGTGAGACCAAGATTCAAGTCAAGGCTCCTGCTCACCCAGATTTAATCCGCTCTAAATCCCACCTTTAATCTGTTTAATGCCACCTTCGGGAACTGGGATCCTGAGCGATGGCTCCTTCCCACCGAGCCGGGAGGAGGAGGAGGTGGAGGAAGAGGAGGAGGAGGAGGAAGGGGAGGATGCTCCCAGTGCTGGGGTGCTGGGATGGGGATGCACGGCTCGGCGGGACCGCAGGGCTTGGGGGTCCCCAGCACAGGCCGCGACTCCCCGATTGCTGCTTCCCGACCTGGAAACTCCTGCACCCGCCTCCGCGGGCGGGCAGCGGGGGGTTCCCGGTGAGACACCGGCCCTGCGCCCACCGCGGGGGCTCCGGCTGCCGCCCGCCCGTGACACTGCCCCGGCCGAGCGGAGGGGATGCCCGCTCCCGGTTTGCACCGGCCGTGGGGGGTGCTTTGGGGCCGGGTGGGGGTCTAGGGTCTGGGGCAGCCCCCCCAGAGCAGAAGCCGCCCGCACCCCCGGTATGGGGGGAGAGAGGGGACTTTGTGGGACCCCCCCGGTGCTGCTCGTGCTCAGCCCGGTTTACCGGAGCCCTCCTCAGCACCCGGCCCGCTCCGCTCCCGGCACCCCTCGGCTCCGTACAGACCCGTGCCCGTTCCACGCCGCCATAACGGCACCGGTCCCCGCACGCCGGGACCCTCGGAGCCGGGGCTACGGCTCCGGTCCCGGTCCCGGGGGATCCCCAGCCGCGGGTTCCTATTGGCTGCTTTGTAGCAAGCCCCGCTCTGCCATTGGCTGGCACCGCCCGTAGGCTCCGCCCCCCCACCCCGCGGCCACCGCCCCTCCGGGCCCCGCTCGGGACCTCGCAGCAGCCGCGGGCGGGAGGCCCGGACCCGGCACCGGCACCGGGGGCACCGGGGGCAGCGAGAGGCACCGGGGGCAGCGACCCCCCCCCACCCGGCCCCGTCCGGCCCCGTCCCGTCCCGTTCCGCCCCGTCCCGTTCACACCGGGGGCACCGGAGCAGCCCCGGTCCCGGCGCCGCGCTCCCCCGAGGCAGGAGCAGGTAAGGGCCGGCCGGGCTCTGCTGCCCGCGGGTGCAGCGCTGCCGGGATCGGGCCCTCTCCCCGGTTCCCCCCGGTCCCCGCGCTCCGCGGGGGTGGCGGTGCGCGGTACCTGCCCGGTTCGTGCTTCTCGCCCCGGTACCGGCTTGCGTCTGGAGGGTGAACGCATCCTTCCCGGGTACCCGCCGTGCCTCCCTCCCTCCCCGTGTCACCGGGCACCGGGGTGCCCCCGGGGACCGAAGGTTTGGGGAGCCCCGAGGGGCGGGAGCTGCCGGGTGGGCAGAGCCCGGGGGTGTCCCCAGGAGCCTTTGGCCGTGCCTCAGTTTTCCCGGTAAGGGGAGATCGCCCCCAAAACCGGTGGGAAAAACGAGGGGGGCTGGAAGCGTCCGGTGGGTTACGGCTGACGGGAACTCGGAGAAGGCGGAGGAGGCCCCCCTGGGGTCATCTCTGGAGCGAGGGCAAGGATGGGTGCCCCATGGCATCACCCTGGCCTTCCTCTGCACCCAGCCACTGGCTGTGCCCCGGGCTCTAAGGAATGAAACTCCCCCATTCCCTTTGGTGAGGCCGGATCCTGCCTGGAGCCGCGGAGTTGGATGTAAAACTTCCCAGCTCCCACCAGCCAAAGCTGTATCAGCTCCGGAGCAGGGAAGGAGTTGGGCCATAAACATTCTTTGCCAACCCCAAGCCCACCACGGGATCCAAATTGTCCCGTGGAGCTTTTCTTCCCTCCTGGAGCTGCTTTGTCCTCGCTGATCCCGGGGCAGGAAGCATGTGATGCACCGAGGCCCTCACCACGGGACGGATGGATGGGCAGACGGTCGGTTTGGCCTCTTCCCCCCCTCCCCATCCTCCGTTTTCCACTTCCCCATCAGTCTCCGTCTGCTCCGAGCAAAGGAGAAAGGAAGTTGCAGCCGGAGAGGGCGGCTTGATGGCAGCTCGATAAAGAAAAGGAGGAAATGGAAGGCGACACAGATGCTCCAAAACAACCCCCCCTTCCTCCTCACCCTCCTCCTCTCCTCCCTGCAGCTGCCTCCCCCCCGCCCCCCCAGGGCACAGTAATCCCAGAGGGATTCCTTGATATGGCACCAGATCAGCTCCCCCATCCCGAATCAGCACTGTGGGGGTATCACCCCCACCCAGTGATGGAGCACCCGCAGTCAGTGCCCCTTCAGGTGCCAGGATCCCATTCCCACGCAGTGCCAGTGAACGGGAAGCGCCGGCGGGATTTACCACCTACGCCCGGGGTTGGAGCCCCCTTGGATGCAGCGCCCAGCTCCTTGCACAGACACGTTGGAGCTGCTGGGGCAGATCGACATTCCCAGGCATTGGTGCAAAGGAGACACCAGAACCCTTCTGTTCCTTCCTGTGGGTGCCCTCGCTGGGGCTGCATTCCGGGGCACCTGCAGGAAGAAGATGATGGGATTGGGGCATTCAGATCCCAGCGCCAGGGATGGTGATGATGATGATGGGGACGTGGCCAAGTGTGTGGTGTGAGCACCAGGAGTGTGCGGAGCGCGATGCAGAGTGTGGTGTCCGGCTGAGGCGATGCCAGCACTTCCCACCGCATCCCTCTCCCCTGCTCCAGGGAGCCGTGGTGGCCGTGCCAAGAGGAGTTTTTCCTCAGGCGAGGTGTTTACCCAGTGGCTTCCTCCCTGGCCTCACCCCGCTGGGCACACACGCGCCGGACCCGGCGCCTTTTGGTGCTGTTTGCACCCATGGCAACGTGCGAGTGCCGGTGGTTGTGAGAGGCGGCGTTTGTCCTTCCTCTTCCTCCTCCTCTGCTGCCCCGGCGCTGGTAAACGGGGGTCTGGAAGCTGGGAAGGCTCAGGGATGGGGAGGGATGGGTGGTTGGGCTCTCCGGTTACATCCCTGTGCTCTGACCCGGCTCCTGTAATCCAGCCCGGTGCGGGGTTTAATTAATGAAGAGGGCTTGGAGGTGCAGGGAGCTGGTGGAAAGCGATGCCAGGGGTGCAGAGCGGAGCAGCGGGATCACATCCGTCACACGGGCGTGTGGCCAAGGACTGGGAGGCACCGGGGATGCTGGGGTGCGGAGAAGGGGTGATTTCCAGAGCAGCGTGCATGGGATGGAAGGGAAACCATGAAATGTTTACTTTGGCTGGGAGGAAACTTGTAGCAGGTTAATATGGCCCTGGTGAGGAGGAAGAGGAGGAAGGAGGAGGAGGCAGAGGTGCCCCTGCTCTCAGATGGAGCTTTGTGGATGCCTCCCCTTGCTCCGCATGCCTGCTCCGTGCCCATGAATTATTGAAGTGCTTTTGCTTCCCTGCATGAGATATTGAGCCCGATGCTGAGTGAGATGGGGGGTTCGGAGGGGAAAGAGGGCTGGGGTTGGTCAGGGGCGAGGGGTCTTTGGGACAGGTAGGAATCGCCTTGGGACTGGCAGGGTGATGGGGTCTCGTGCTCCCCTCTGCAGCCAGGAGCTTTCATTGATGCTCTGTAAGGAGAGGGCCACGCTCTGCTCATGGCCGTGCCCTCACTGGTGCAGGAGATGGTTTCTGGGCTGTCCCCATTTAGACGGGGGCCGAGGCTGCGGCCGGGTGTTGGATGCTGTCCCCAGGGGACCCCACGGCTGTGTCACTGCATGCCCACCTCACCCGGGACGTCCACCCCCGCGGCTGCAACCTCCCCACTGAAACCTGCCAAACGGGTGGAAACCCCCCCAAAAAAGGGCTGTGACTCCCCAGAGCCACCGCTGGGACCGCAGCTCTTCCGGAGCAGGGAGGGACTCGGCGTGAGCAGCGCCCGGCTGCTTGGTTTGGGACAAGAAGCTGGGTTTTGAGGGCGTTTTCGTTAAAAAGAAGAAGAAGGGGGGGGAGGAAACAAACAGACCCCGAGCAGGGCTGCGGAGTTCAGCAGCAGGAAGGAAACCGAGCGGTTTATTTCGGTCTCGAGTCTGCTCCGTGGGGCAAAGCTTTGCCTCTTCCGTGCGCCGCCAGCAGCCCCTGGGCGAACAATGGGGCTGCGGGGCCCTTCCCGCCAGGAAAACAGCGCGTTCCGGTGACAGCTCCTGCGTGCTGCTGAGTCAGCAGGTCCTGGTGGGGCAGACGGAGCCGCGCTCACGGCCCCGGGGCCAGCGGGAGCCGACGTGCGGGGAGGTGAGCGGGGTTCCCTTGGCCTTTGCAGGAGCGACCTCGGAGCAGCGCAGCGGGGTGCTGGGACGGGGCAGGGTGTGCTTGGGGGGCCCAAAGAGACCCCTCGAGGCCGCTTCGTGCCTCGGTTTCCCCCCACAAGTGAGGACTGGTTCCCTGCAGGAGGGGGCTGTGGGCAGCCAGCTCTTGTTCAGTGCTGGGAGCGGAGGCTGCTCTGTTATTGCAGGTGCTGATTGGGAGCCGTGGGTGTGCGGGGCAGAAGGAGCTGGGGCTTCCTATTTTGTAAGGGCTCCGTAGGTGGGATCTGCGCTCCCTTTGTGGCTGCAGCCGCTCTGCAGAGAGCTCAGGTGCGGGAATTCCTGTTTACAAGGCATTGCTCCCAGTGGGGAGCACAGGGCACCCACAACCGCCGCGCAATGCAGGGGAAGGGACCTCCGTGGTGCCCACACCTTGGCAAAGCCGTGGTCCTTCTGGAAGAGGCTGCCTGCTGCGGGCAGAGCCGGTCCCCCATAGAGCCAAAGGGAGCAGAGATGGAGCCCATCCTGCCCATCCCTCCGGGCTCAGCTCCAGCAGCACCTCCCGCATGGAGCCATTGGCGTTAAAGTGATCCCGGGAGCTGCCTCTGCTTTGTCATTTGTGCCTCAGGAGCCGGAGCTCGAGGCTCACGCTGGCAGCAATCGATGTCTTCACATGGAAGGAAGCACTCACAAACGTCCGTGTTGTTCCTCAGGGCTGTAAATAACGCTGCAGGCGGCAGCTCCGTTACTGAGCGCTCAGCTCATGCCCTCACGGAGCCTTGGCCTCAGGGAGCCGGTGGCTGGGAGATGCTCAGGAAGCCAGGGCTCAGTTTGCACCATCACCCGTGCTCCATCACCCATGCACCATCACCCGTGCACCATCACCCGTGCACCATCACCCGTGCTCCATCACCCATGCACCATCACCCGTGCTCCATCACCCGTGCTCCATCACCCATGCACCATCACCCGTGCTCCATCACCCGTGCTCCATCACCCATGCACCATCACCCATGCTCCATCACCTGTGCTCCATCACCTATGCACCATCACCCCTGCACCATCACCCGTGCTCCATCACCCATGCACCATCACCCGTGCACCATCACCTGTGCTCCATCACCCATGCACCATCACCCATGCGCCATCACCCATGCACCATCACCTGTGCACCATCACCCGTGCTCCATCACCCATGCACCATCACCCATGCTCCATCGCCTGTGCACTGTTCCCCTTGCACAACCGGCTGCAGTGAGGTGGACCCGTGGCCACAGCCGGGTATCTGAGCCCTGCTGGGATCTGCTCCCATGCTCCATGGTGGTAGGAGCAGGATTGAGGATCCCTGTAGGGTCTCAGCCAAGGGGGCCCCGGCGCTGCCCATGCTGAGGGCAGACTCAGAATTGGGGCTGCAGACAAGAGGCTCTCCATACCCATGGCCAATTTATCCCCATCCATTGTCACACCAGCAGCATCCTTTAGCTTCAGAAGCTCCTCTCCCCTCCCTGGTGATGTTTTTACACCTGATCCCGTCCCCTCCCGCTGCCTCTGTGCCAGGCTGACCGTGCCACGTGCAGGTTCTTGCATAAGCAGCCCCCATCCCTGCCCATCCGTCCTGGCGTGGGAGCTGCTTGTTCTCACGCTGTTCTTGCCTCCCCGTGCTTTGTGGCTCCGTGATTTCCTGGGCCAGGGATGCAGCTCCAGGCTCGGTGGCTTTTGATTCATTCACAGCACTTTTCAAAGCGGATCTGGCCCCGCCGGGGTGCGGGGAGCTGGGCTGCGGCTGAGCAAGGGGTGAGGTTTGTGGCTGCTTGAATTATTCACCTCCGTGCAATGCTCAGGAGGAAGCAGAACGAGTCCGGGCTCCAGCGCCATGGGTGTACCAGGGCAAGGGCCTCCATCCATGCTGGTGGGTGCTGCAAACCGGCCGTGCCACGTGGCTGCGGGTGACTCAACCAGCACCTGGGTCGTCCCCAGCTCACCCTGCAGGAAATGAGTCAGGGTTTCAGGAAGACAAAAAGGTTGAAGTGATGGGGCAAGAGCCCTTCCTGCACCGGGAGCAGGCGGCGCCGGGCAGGAGCAGGACGGGGATGGAGGGTCACAGGCGATGCTCAGGTAGGGAGACCTCAGTCACCGCTGGCACTGCCCATTGCACTGCAGCTTCCCCCCAGGGTTTGGGGCAGGAAGGTGGGAGCACCCTGTAACTCATCCAGCTCAGCTCCTGCCTTGCACCCAGGAGCTCTTCTTTGTCCTGCTGTTGGTTGGAGATGCTCTTCCTCCTCCCAAAAGGCTGAGGGGGTAGGATAAGAGATGGGGGCTGATGCAGGCCATGAACTGTGTGTGTGCCTCTTCCCCTTGCAGAGATGGACACCTTCAGCACCAAGAACCTGGCCCTGCAGGCCCAGAAGAAGCTCTTGAGCAAGATGGCTACCAAGACCATAGCCAACGTCTTCATTGATGACACCAGCAGCGAGATCTTGGATGAGCTCTACCGGGCCACCAAAGAGTACACCCACAACCGCAAAGAGGCGCAGAAGATCATCAAAAACCTCATCAAGATCGTGATGAAGTTGGGCGTTCTCTACCGCAACGGGCAGTTCAGCGCCGAGGAGCTGCTGGTGATGGAGCGCTTCCGCAAGAAGGTCCACACCTTGGCCATGACGGCCGTCAGCTTCCACCAGATAGACTTCACCTTCGACCGCAGGGTCATGTCGGGCGTGCTCACCGAGTGCCGGGACCTGCTGCACCAGGCTGTCAACGGCCACCTCACCGCCAAGTCCCACTCCCGCATCAACCACGTCTTCAATCACTTTGCGGACTACGAGTTCCTCTCGGCTCTCTATGGGCCATCCGAGCCCTACCGCACCCACCTGCAGCGGATCTGCGAGGGGGTTAACAAGATGCTGGAGGAGGACAACATATGAAGGTGGCTGAGGCAGCGCGGGCGCCTGGTTTGAGCAGCACCGGGCTCGGTGTCCTCTTCTCTGCAGCACAACCCCATTTGCTCCTTGTGTCTCCACCAAACTGAACCTCTCGACTGTGTCTAACCCTTGCCCAGTGTCTGCAAACCCCTCCCTGTGCTGGGCTGAGCCCTTCCTGGGTGACCCTGGGCCGCTGGGCTCCTGCTGTACAGTTTGATTTCCTTTGTCCACTAAGTGCTCTTAGCTCCGGGTCCAAGGAACCGGACTCCTCCCCTTGATCTCTGTTGTAACTCTCCTGGGGGAGACCCAGACCAAAGGCTCTTGGTGTGTGACGCCTCTCGGGGCTCTCTGAGCGGGGGGCGGTTGTTTGGATGGACACTGGTGAGGGCTGGGGAGCCCCATGGTTTCCTTTCTGCAGCTCCACGATGTGCTGGGAGCAAATCGTGGCCCACACTGGTGCCGCGCGGGGGGGAAGGCGTTTCTGCACCTTGCAGGCTCTTCAAAGACAAGGCCTGGGGACCAGAAGGATCCCACCCCACCTGTCCGCGGGAGCAGGGAGGGAGCTGCTCCTTCCCCGCATCCCAGCTACATCCGAGACACAATTCCCCCCCCGGCTGCTGCGGTGGTACCACTGCGGTGGCTCCGGTGCCTTTGGTGGTGTCCAAAGCCCTCCCATGGATTCCAGACATTTCACGTGTCCTCTGCTGAGTTCTGGCTGTGGTTTTTTAGCCGACTGTCGCTCTGATGAGTGACGGAAATAAACCAAACATCCTTAAATGGAGATGGCTCCCTGTGACCCGGGCTTTGTGCTCTCCAGCCCCAGCATCGCTGCTGCCCAGGCTGCCCCTGCTCCCCGCAGCGGGAAGCAGCTTTGCAGGATTCAGGGATTCGGTGCAGGTGAGTTGGGCTCTCGGAGCATGAATGCCCCAACCGGAGCCTGCTCCCAGCACGCTGAGCTTGGCTTTGAACACGGGAAATTGCCCTTTCAGCAATCAGGACGCGGCACAATCTCATCCGGCCTTATCTCCACAGCCTCCTCGTGCCTCCTGTTCCATGGGATGTCTCCAGGCACAGGAGGACGGCAGTGCTGATGGGCAGAGCATTGTGCCTCCCGTTCGCTGCTACCTTTCCACCGCTGGCTCGAGGCACTGAGAACTTCCAGCCTTTAAGATTCAATAAAAGGAATCCCCCCCATCTGGGTCATTCCACAGGCCTGGCTCCAGATGTCACAGCCAATGCAGTTGTGTGACACAGCGCGGGGTGGGGGGTAAAGCACCTTTAGGGGTGTGCATGGAGGAGAACACGGCCGAGCTCCACCGAGGCGCTGGGCCCCTGGGGAGGGCAGGGTGAAGTCGCCCTTTGGCCCACGGTGTTTGGGAGCAGACGTTCCTGGTTCTTTCCAGCTCACGGCAGCTGCCAGGGACGTGCAGGAGAGGAGCCAGAGCTGGAAGCAGCTCCCGGAGTTGCCAGTGGATGCAGGGAGCAGGCAGGGCAGAACGGGGCTGATGGATGCGGTGGCTGCGCTGACACAGGCACTTCCCTGTTCTGCTCTCATGGTGCACACCAGCATCAGCTGCAAGAGGCTCCTTAACTGCATGGAACATCCCAGCGCAGATGAGCCCCGACCCCGTCCCCAGGGTTTCGTACACCCCAGGACCACAGTTAACCCACCAGCGCCTGCCTTTGCCTTCGCATGCAGGTGCCTCATCTGGAACTTCTCCCTCACACCCCATGGCGAACACCCACCTTGTTCCCAGAACTCCGAACGGAGCAAACTGGGGCCAGAGCTTGATGCTTTATTCCTTTATTGGTGGTGTATTTACACAGGGAAGGAATTCCACTTTCCCTCGCTGTTATGCCTCGAGATAAAAAGATCCCTTCCGTACGTAGAAAATAGTCCTGCAGTTGCACTGAGGCATGGAAGTGGTGCTCGGGTTGATTCCTGGGTTGTGTCAGAATAAGCAGCTCTGCCTTCCCCATGTCCAGTTACCTCCCAAGCCCTGCTCTGCACTAGGGCAGGGCAGGAACATCCTCCCCGGCGCAGCCATACTCAACAAGGAGCCCGACAGCTTTGGCCAACTCTATCCCTTCCTTCCCCCTCCCACCCAATTGGATTATTGGCAGTCCTGGGGGAATGGTTGGACTTGATGATCTTAAAGGTCTTTTCCAACCCAGTTGATTCTGATTCCTCCTGTCAGGCTTGCAGAGAGAGAAATCCCATCCTTCCCTCTGGAGACTACAGAGTTAAGAGCTCCCCTTTAGCAAACCTTGGTTCAATCCAGCCACTTATCTTTCTGTGCTTCTCTTCCTAGCAAGGGAGATAAGGAGCCCCCGTCCGAGGGGAGCTTTGCCATATTCAGCAGATCAACCAAGCAGAAAGCGGGTGACAGAATGGCTGGCTGCAGATCAGGAGTCTCAGAGGAGGTTTCAGCTGCAAAGCACATCGTTACTCTGACACAAGCCAGAATGCATCTGCCTTAACACCCCCAAGCCCCGCTTGTGTTGGACCCTAGCACATTTCAATATGGAAAACATCAAAAGGTTTGGCCAACCCCCAAACCCAACCCCCTGCCGTTAAGCAGTGATCCTCTTTATCTGCCGTGCTCTTCCGACCAGAACACCCTGCCCAGCGCCGGCCCCGGGGTCACAGCTCCTCACGGGGTGTTCTTGCTACAATCATGAGCTTGGAGAGTTCAAAACGGAACTTGCCTTCCCTGTGAGCCACTGGAAAGAGAGAAAACAAGGCCAGCATAAAGCAGATGGGAGGGCATGCACAAACCAGCCCTGCTGGGTCCCTTCCAGGACCATAAAGCCAGCAGGTTGGGCACTGCACTTCCTTCTGCTGCACACAACAGGCGCGTTGGGATAAGCCCATTCTTCCCCCGTGGTAATTTAACACTTACACTGCAAACCCCAGCCCCGGATGCCCCTGCCTCCATAGCACACACTGGCACCTCTCTGCATGGAGCTGTACTCGGCCCCCACTTGTCTCCCAGCCCCTTTCTCACAGAGCTCTCAGTCACAGACCTGTTGTTTCGGTGACCTCAAACTCTTCCTGTTTTAAGGGGATGTCGCTTTGTCCACCCGCCGCAGCCTGAGACTGAAATGGGAAGGAAGGGGTTTAGGCAGTTGAGGCAATGCAAGAAGCTGCTCGCTTTAAAGGAAACAAAGCAGCAGCACGGGTTGAAAGGGAATGAATTTGTGTTTTCATCACGCGGGGCGACAGGATGCCACCCTCAAAGGAAACCTGATGGAAAACCTCTTGCTGGTTTTCCATTCCTTACTGAACCATGAACTCGTGCCCGAAAGCCTCACCTCGGAAGGCCGGGAAACGGGAGACTGCACCAGCCACAGCACCAGCAGAGGGGTTATTTGCACTGCCACATGGGGTTTGCTGAGGCAAAGCAAGCCTCCCGTGCAGTGCAGCCTGCCAGGGGGGGTCTGCGGAGCCACCACCAGACCCAGGGTGTTGAGGGAGCACCAAGGCAGCGGTGCAGGAGGCTGTACCTGCAGCTGCTCTCCCGCTGCCACCGCTCTCTAATTAGGGACGTGATGGAGGACGTTTTATTGCACAGATGTCTAATAAATGTTTTCCATGTCAAATTCATGTTTTATAGCAGCCTCCCACACGCCTGCTTCCAAGCGATCAGCTGGGACTTACGTAAGCCATGGCATACTCTATCTTGGCTCCTTTCACTTCGGCTTTAAACTGGGTAAAGAAGAGATAAGACTTCCCCTGGGGCCTGAAATGAGAAAGCAGAGTCTTTGACACGGGCAGAGAGGCTGGAGGCGCAGCTGAGCTCAGGGCTCACAGCTCCCTCCCTCCACAAGCACCTCTGGCTCTCTTGTGGCTCCATCTAATGAGGAGGGTGGAGCGGGGGCCACAGCACCCATGAACCACCCTGCAGAGGCAAACCCAGCCCCCCTGGCCCAGACCCCAGCGGCCTCACTGTTGGTTGGGGTTAAGGAACACACCTCCAGACGGAGCAGGAGAAGAGCTGCTTGTCTTCACTGACTCCAACGTTCATCTGCCACTGCTGCAGAGGGGAAAGGTCCATACAGTCACTGTGGGTGACCCTAACCCTAACCCTAACCCTTGTACATCTCCCTTGCCCCAGAGACCAGGCACCTCCCCTCCAGCTGCAGGCATGGCAGGTTTGAGCCATCCCACAGTAACACAAGGGAATACACAGTGCTCCTGACAGCCCCTTCTGCTGCGTGTGGCACAGGGGTCCAAGCCCGGCTGCCATCCCCATCCCCAGTTCTGTTGGTACAGCCACAGAAGGGAGTGAGTGAAAGCCTCATTTCTCCTTCTGCTCACACAAAGGGACCTGACTGGAACAGGACTCTCAGAGGAGACAGCACAAACTGCATCTGCACAGCACCTACTGCACCTGCACGGCACCTACTGCATCCACACGGCACCTACTGCATCTGCACGGCACCTACTGCATCTGAACGGCACCTACTGCATCTGAACGGCACCTACTGCACCTGCATGGCACCTACTGCATCTGAACGGCACCTACTGCACCTGCACGGCACCTACTGCATCTGCACGGCGCCTACTGCACCTGCACGGCGCCGACTGCACCTGCACGGCGCCTACTGCACCTGCATGGCACCTACTGCATCTGAACGGCACCTACTGCATCCGCACGGCACCTACTGCACCTGCACGGCGCCTACTGCACCTGCATGGCGCCTATTGCATCCGCACGGCACCTACTGCACCTGCACGGCGCCTACTGCACCTGCACTGCACCTATTGCATCCTGCACCTACTGCACCTGCACTGCACCTACTGCACCTGCACTGCACCTACAGCAGCAGCACCACGAGCTGCAGAAAGGCTCCCCAAGAAGCAGAAGCGGCTCCTACGCGGTCCTTCCTGCCCAGCGGGGTACGGAAAGGGCTCTCCCTGCTCTCCAGACGCATCCAGCCCAGGATGCGCTCAGCACCCCAAGCACCAGGGCCGCAGGAGCGCGGCACAGGGCGCCGCGGGCAGGGAGCTGCTTTAGCAGGCAGAGAGCGTCGGGACCGGTGCAAGCGCCGCTGCCCGCAGCCGCCCACGGCCACCACGAGCAGCTCCCGGCTCGGCAGCCGCAGAGCGCGGGCGCAAGCGGAACCCGAGGGTTTCCCCAGCTCACCTCGTTCGTTCCGCCCTGGGCCGAGTACGTGAAGGTGCAGGTGCGCTCCTCCTGGAAGGGGAGGAGGGGATGAGCCACGGCACAAAGGGTGAGGGGCCCATGACCGCCCCTTGGGCCCCCATCAGCCCCCGTGCGGCAACGAGGGGACATCTGCGGGCACCTCAGGGGGTGACCCCCGGGGGTCAGCGGGGACCCGTGGTGCCGGGGGACCAAGGACCCACAGCCCCTTCTCCATGGGGAGGCTGCTCCTTCCCCCCGGGGACCCCTGCACCCCGCGGGTGCCCTCCTCCCGCAGCCGCCCCTTTCTCCTCGGGGGCACTGCCCATGGCACGCTCCGTTCCACGGAGGTCTCCTCACACAGGGGCTCTCCCCTTCTCCTTGGGGACCCCCCCGTTTTCCTTGGGGACCCCCCCTTTTCCTTGGGGACCCCCTTCTCCTTGGGGAGCCCCCCCTTTTCCTTGGGGACCCCCTTCTCTTTGGGGACTCCCCCCTTTTCCTTGGGGACCTCCTTCTCTTTGAGGACCCCCTTCTCCTTGGGGACCCCCTTCTCTTTGGGGACCCCCCCTTCTCCTTGGGGACCCCCTTCTCCTTGGGGAGCCCCCCCTTTTCCTTGGGGACCCCCTTCTCTTTGGGGACCCCCCCTTCTCCTTGGGGACCCCCTTCTCCTTGGGGACCCCCTTCTCTTTGGGACCCCCCCCGTTTTCCTTGGGGACCCCCCTCTCCCTGGGCTCCCCCCCTCCGCAGACCCCCCTCAGGGACCCCTCTCCCGATGGGGTCCCCCCTCCCCCGCCCCTTAGCAACCAGCACGGACCCCCCCCCCCCCGTTAACCCCGCAGCTGGTCCCGCCCCCCCCCCCCGCTGCCAGCCAATCCGCGTGGCGGGGGCCGGGAGTGACGTGGCCCACCGCTAATCAGCGCCCGTCGCGCCCGCGGCCTTCGCCCCGTGCCTCCGCCGCTCACCAGGCTCCGGGAGAAGGAGTGCACCCCCCCGCCGGGCCGCACGTCGAACCGGGCCGCGCTCGGCTCCTCCGCGGCCCCCGCCGCCAGGCACAGCAGCGCGGCGGGCACCAGCGCGGCCCACAGCCCCCGGCCGCTCCTCCCGCTGGGCGCCGCCATCTTGGAAAGGAAGCCTGCGCTACGGCGCGCGGGAGGGGTCAGCGCGGGCAGCGGGCGCTCCGGCGGCCATCTTGGGTGCGGGCAGGAGGGTTAACCCTATGGGGGCCGCGGTGGGGACAGCGGCACGAGGAGCAGTGGGCATGGGGGAAGAGGAGCCGTGGGCATGGGGGGCGAGGAGCTGTGGGCAGGGGTGGAGAGGAGCCGTGGGGGCAGAAGTCGGGCCCCGGCACTGAATCCGGCGCCATTGAGGACAGAGAGAGCAGGACGGGCATGGGGGCGGCTCCTTCATTTCTGCCTCCTCCGCAGGGGTAAATACAGAGCCGTGGGTCCGGCGGAGGAGCCCCAGCCCCGGCCCCGGCCTTTGGGGTGGAGCCGGGGCCGCAGGAGGAAGAGGAGGAGCGTGGGAGCAGAGGCAGGGCCACGCGGCGCCATCAGCGGGTCCTCGGGAGGCGCTGGGCTCGGGGCACCGGGAAGCGGGGTCGGGTCCAGCCGCAGGGAGCCGTGGCCGCTCACGGCACCGGGAAGCGGGGTCGGGTCCAGCCGCAGGGAGCCGTGGCCGCTCACGGCACCGGGAAGCGGGGTCGGGTCCAGCCGCGGGGAGCCGTGGCCGCTCACGGCACCGGGAAGCGGGGTCGGGTCCAGCCGCAGGGAGCCGTGGCCGCTCACGGCACCGGGAAGCTGGCCTGTGCGGCCACCCCGCACTGGTTGTGGGCGCCCTTCAGCAGGCGGATGTAGCCCTGCTCACCCCAGAGCTCCGACCAGCTGCGGGAGGGGGAGAAAGAGAGCAGCCATGGGCGCATCTGTGAGCGCATCCATGAGCACATCCATGGGCACATCCATGGGCACATCCATGAACACATCCATGGGCACATCCATGAGCCCATCCCTGAGCACATCCATGAGCCCATCCATGGGCACAGCCATCAACACATCCATGGGCACAGCCATGAATATATCCATGGGCACAGCCATGGGCACATCCATGGGCACATCCATGGGCACATCCATGAACACATCCATGAGCACATCCATGGGCACAGCCGTGAGCACATCCATGGGCACATCCATGAACACATCCATGGGCACATCCATGGGCACAGCCATGAACACATCCATGAGCCCATCCATGGGCACAGCCATCAACACATCCATGGGCACAGCCATGAATATATCCATGGGCACAGCCATGGGCACATCCATGAACACATCCATGGGCACATCCATGGGCACAGCCATGAATATATCCATGGGCACAGCCATGGGCACATCCATGAACACATCCATGAGCACATCCATGGGCACAGCCGTGAGCACATCCATGGGCACATCCATGGGCACATCCATGGGCACATCCATGGGCACAGCCATGAACACATCCATGAGCACAGCCGTGAGCACATCCGTGGGCACATCCATGGGCACAGCCATGAACACATCCATGAACACATCCATGGGCACAGCCATGGGCACATCCATGAACACATCCATGGGCACAGCCATGGGCACAGCTGTGTGCCTGCGCACAGAGAACCAGCCCTGCCTGGGAGGATGAGGAGACAGGGACAGGGACAGGGACGTTCCTGCCATGCAGCCCCAGTGGGGCCAGGCGTGTGTGGGGGTGAAGGGGCCAGCAGGGTCATGGAATCCCAGCCTGGTTTTGGTTGGAAGGGACCCTAAAGCTCCTCCAGCTCCAACCCCTGCCAGGGCAGGGACCCCTTCCACTGGAGCAGCTTGCTCCAAGCCCCTGTGTCCAACCTGGCCTTGAGCACTGCCAGGGATGGGGCAGCCACAGCTTCTCTGGGCACCCTGTGCCAGCGCCTCAGCACCCTCACAAGAAGAGCTTGTACCTCGTCTCCAACCCGTTTGTGGGACATCCTCAGCCCCTACCTGTTCTTTAAGATCCAGTAGCTCACGTTGTGGCCGCGGTCCTGGCTCGTGCCGTAGCCCACGGCCAGCATCCCGTGGTTCACCTGCTGGCTGCAGAGCGCGCTGCTGAAGATGCCTGCGAAGAGCAGAGCCGGGCTGAGCCGGGGGCAGCCCTCATCCATCCTCCTCCGGGGGTGGCTCCCACCCCTCAGGGGCTCCATCAGGACTCAGCCCCCCCCTTCACCCCTCCCTAGGATGCGCGAGACGGTACCGGACTTGTAGAAGTGGAACTGGAAGCCGCTGGCGTCCACCGCCACCGACACGGGGCCCACGGTGGCCACCGCCTGCTCCAGCGCCGCCTCATTGCCCTGGGCCACCATGCGCAGGCCGGAGCAGGCGGCGGCCCTGTCCCGGGGGCTGTACCGGCAGCCGGAGGTGTCCTGGCGGGAGGCATGGGCTGAGCGCGGTGCTGGCACCCTCGCGCCCCGGCGCCCCCGGCGCTGCCCCTCACCGTGCCCGTGTAGGGGTAGACGCGCTCCGAGTTCAAGCCGCCGTTGTCGCGCACGTACTGGAAGGCGCGGGTCATGTACCCGCCGCGGCAGCCGGCGTTGCCCAGCGGCCGGGAGCAGTCGATGAGGTTCTGCTCGCTCAGCGCCACCAGCTTCCCCGTGCGGTTGAAGACGAGCCCCTCCAAGGCCCCCGTGGCGCTGAAGGCCCAGCAGGACCCGCAGTGCCCCTGGGCGAGATGGGGACGGCAGGGACGGTCACGGCATCGCCCCAAAACCCGCTGCAGAGAGATGCTGTGACCCCCCCCGTGTGCTCTGCAGCTCCTCAGCCCTCACAAAGCTGCTGCTTTACGGTGACCAGGGGTTTCGTGGCGTTTGGGAGGGTGCTGCTGGTGGCTTCTGCCGCCCAGGCCCCGGCAGCCATCACACAGCCCTGACCGCATCCCGAGCCCACCTGGTTCTTCACGGGTGTCACGTAGCCCTTTGCCCTCCAGTCCACCTCCAGCAGGGGCTTCAGGGTCTTTGATGGCTGGAAGAGCAGCGCTGGCTCCTCCGGCCATGCTGGGGTGAAGCCGTTCAGGAGCTGGTTAAACTCCTCCTCTGTCTGCAGGGAAGACCTGGGTGATGCCAGGAGCAGCACCACAGCCCCACCGGCCCCTGGGGAAGCACCTGCAGCTCCCAGTGCCCATCTCCAGCCCTGAGTGCATCAGGAGGTCCCCGGTCCCCATCTCCAACCCTGGGTGCATCAGGAGGTCCCCGGTCCCCATCTCCAACCCTGGGTGCATCAGGAGGTCCCCGGTCCCCATCTCCAACCCTGGGTGCATCAGGAGGTCCCCGGTCCCCATCTCCAGCCCTGTTGCCCTGGGGGGTGCAGGCCCTGGTGCAGGAGGTGTCCCCGGGGGGGGCTGCGGTACCAGGTCCCCGTGGTGGTTCATGGCCAGGCGGAAGCCGTGCTGCCCCTGCGACTGCTCCCAGTTGTGCTGCTGGATGCGGCGCAGGTTCTTCTCCCAGACCTCCCTGCGGATGGGCTCAGCCTCCTGCCGTGGGGCAGCAGGATCAGAGCCAGCCCCCAGGAGCAGGGGCACACGGGATGGGGGCACTCGGGTACCTCTGGCTGAGCCCCCCATAGGGAATCAGGACCTACCCTTGGGTACTCCTTGCCATGGAGGCTCTTCCACCCTTCCCAGGCCTCATCCAGGGCGGGATCCAGCGCCGTGGTGCAGCCCAGCAGGGCCAGCAGCAGCCCCAGCAGCACAGCCATGGTGCTGAACTGGGGGGAATGGTGAGGGCAGGGTCGGGGGGGGCCAGGGCTGGGAGCAGGATGAGTCCTTCCAAGCCCAGGTTAGAGGTGAGCGTGGAGCCAGAGAAACGCAAGCAGAGGCAGAGGAAAGGCACACGTTGGCCTGTGCAGCCACGCTGCCGCTGCGATGGGAGCTCCAGGAACCATGGGATGGTTTGGGTGGGAAGGGACCTCTAAAGCTCATCCACGTCCAGCCACAGACAGCGTTCACCACCCTTTGGGTGGCACTGAGCTGTGCTCTGTAGGAACAAGCAGCTCCGCAGGGAGCAGAGCCTGGCTGGCAGGAGGCAGCTGACACAGGGCAGGGAGAGCAGCAGGGATGGAGCCGGCCCAGCCCTCCCTTCCCCATCCCCATCCACTCCCCCTGCGCCACCAAGGAGGAGCCCCATGGAGCGAGAGCCGCAGCCGCTGGGCCGGGATGAAGCTGCCGGCAGCAAAGTGCCCCGGCAGAAACCTGCCCCAGGCCCGAGCACGGGGCTGGAAGCAGCGATCAGGGGCTTGGTGCAGAGGTGGAGCCGCTGCACGGTGCCCACTGAAGCCTCGCACGTGCCCCAGGCTCCCTCCGGGAGGCCTTTCCAGGATCGGTTTCCACCCTTCCTTCGTGCCAGCGAGCACCCGGAGCCCTGCCCCGGCTCCCGACACCACCAGCCCACTCCACTGCAGCCCTTCGCCTTCCTCCCGCACCTCCCCAGTGCACCCTGGCATTCCAGAGCAAGTTCAGTTATTCCCTGCCAAGGGGAGGGAGATAAATGCCTGAAACACCCCCAAACACACGAGTTTCTACTGACAGGGCTGTCCAAGAGCGAGAGCCATCGGCACCCCTTTATTCCACACGCTCTGGGAATGGAGATGCCGGGAGCTATTCCCCCTGAGCATCCTCTGGGGCAAGCGGTGGCTTCCCTGAGTGAATTCCATAGCTTGAGGAGCGGGGTTGCTGTTAAAACAAGCCATCAGGAGCATCTGTTCCCATTCCGCATCCTCCACCTCTGAATGAAGCCCCACATGCTGGGTTGTGGTGGGAGAAAAGCCTCCCGAGCCCCTCTGGTCCCCGTTCCTGAGGAGGAGCCGGTCTTCCCGCTCCGGCCATTCCCACTTGCTCAGGAAATGAACAATGTCAGGCTCCAGCTGCAAAGCCCCTGTGAGGACCAGATACCCCAAGCCCAGCTCCACGCTCCCATTACCTTTCCCACAGGACACCTCCCCCAGTGTTTGCGTTTCAATCCCCGACAGAGCCTGTTCCATATGGAAAAGCTCCAGCGCGCGGGAGGTGATTTTCCAGTTAACGCCTCTCAGGATCCTCAATCCCCCAAAGAAGAAAACCAACCTCTTCCTACAGCATCAAACAGTCCCCGGCTTCAGAAGCGAGCTCAGACGATCAAAGGAGCTGCCACGTTTGTAAACTGCTGCAGACGGGAGCGTTCTGACGGCGGTGCAGGCGCTTTAAGCAACACTTGCTCTTTTGGGGCAGGAAGAAGCAGTTTAAATTAAGACTGGGAAGAAACAAAGCCTGCAATAAAAGCTGCTTACCCCAGCCCCCAGCCAGCTCTAAAGAGAGGGGGCAGAAAGGGAGCAGCTTCTGTGGCTCAGAGATGTGCAACTTCCTTCATTGCATCCCCTTCCGAGCTCAGGAGCTGCACACGGGGCTCCCCGGGGGGCAGAAGCTCAACCACAACGGTGCAGGACAGTAACAGCCCCACTCAGAGCCACGCTCCGAGAGCCAGCGGCCCCAGCTCTAAGACACTTGGGCATTCGGAGCGGAAGCCTCCAGCTCGCACCGTCAGGGCACGGCAGGGTGGATTCATCACTGCTGATTCCCATGGCAGAAAGGGGCGGCCAGGCCAGGGCTTGTGAGCTTCGGGCTGCAGGGAGGATGAGCACGAGGCAGCTCCATGTGCGGGATCAGCTCCATCCCCGCAAGTCACCGCAGGTACCCAGGGCTGGTGTCAGCCCAAGGTCGCACAGCCCAGGATTCCCAACCTTCCACCCTGCAGCTTCCATTGCCTGGATCCTGCTGCCCCCAGGCATTTACCAGGCCCTGCGCTGCTCGGTGCAGGAACCGAACAGAGCTCTTTGCTTTCCCCACAGACCCAGCTCTGCCTATGGGGAGGCAGCTCCGTCTCCTCGCGCGCCCGCTCCTGCGCCCCAGAGCGCCAGCAGGAATCTTTGCAATAGTTTAATGAGTCGCTACATCTTACACTCATAATTATAAAAGAATAAGAATCCATAAAAATATTTTCTTTTCATAATACGCACTTAAAATACTCCAGGGCAAGTCAACGTGGTTCATTTGGGTGGGTTTTGTGTGGTTATCCTTTTGCCCCCTGGCAGAACCCTTGGCTTGAGGGGGGGACGTGCTCCCCTGAGGTGCGATTGCTCAATCCCCCCTCCCCAGAACGGCAGTTCCTGTGGAGCAGGTACAACAGAAACCAGAAGAGAGCGTTTGCTGAGGAGATGGGCAAAGGGGACCAGTCACTGACCCGCAGAGAACTGAAGCACAGCCAATTTCAGTGCACATCTGAAAGCTCGGGGTGTCGGGGACGGTGGGCCCAAGAGGCAGCACAGAGAATGGGGGGGAGGAGGGGTTTGCATAAATATCATCCATCTTGTGTTGCAAAACACCCAAGTGCTGCTGCGAGCTCCGCAGGGATGATCTGTGCTGGGAGCCAGCTGCTTCAGCTGCCTGTTGGCACAACTCTGCTTGGGAGCGGCCATTAGAGAAAGGTATCGGAGGACGCTGTTACCGACCCCAGCCACTTCCTCCATCTGCTCTGCAAAATTCCACTGCAAAATAGAAAAGACTTAGTGTTGCCATGCTTCTGTCGAGCTCCCGCCACAGCCCAGGGCTCCACGCTGGGCCAGGACACAGCAGCAGTGATCAGCTCTCCCCTGGGGCTTAACAACAGGTAGCTCTCTCTTCCCTCCTCCCGCTCCTGGCTTAAGGGAGCTTGCTGATTCAGCTCTTCCGTTTCCAACACAGGCACTGAGTTCTTGCAGGTAGGAGTATGGGGACTGCAGAGGTGCAGTGGGACAGGGAAAAGGATGGGGGAAGAGAAAGATGGGCACAAACCTCAGCCTCGGGAGACAGACCACTGTCCATTGCTTCCCAGGAGAGAGGGAGTAGCAGCAAAAAAAGCATGAACAGCCAGGCTGGAGGAGAGGAAGAGGATGAGCAGCCGAGCAGGGGCAGACCTCCAGCTTGGGAAGTGAGAGAAGGTGGCACTGTCCAAAGGGAAGGTGCCCTCCAGCCTCCCCCCTGGCTCGGGGGGACACCCAGCCCAGGTGGGCACTCAGCCATGTGTGCTCCGGGTGATGGCTGCGGAGGGAGGCGGCGGCGCAGGGGAGGGGGAGCTCTCAGTGTCCAGCTTGCAGAGGCTTGTGCTCTCAGAGGTATTCCTGTAGAAAGTGCAGCAGCGTGATTTCATAGTGCTCCCCTGACTCGGGGCACCGAATACTGTGTCTCTCGTTGGGGTAGATCTGTGCAGGAGCAGAGAGAGCGGGGGGTTAGCCAGCAGCAGCTCCTGCAGCACGCACAGCCCCCCCTCACATCGGCCCTTCTCCCTCCAGCCAGTCCCTGGTGGGCACAAAGGGAAGGGTGAGAGCACCAGCCCTCCTCCCGCACTGCCCTGCTCTGCTGGGGCAGGCTGGCACCTCTGTTGCCACCAGCCAACCCAGACAGCGAAACAGAGAAGGAAAGTTCCAGGCCTGAGGGCAGCAGCCCTGCCTGTGCATGCTCTCAGACACAGGGCACATGTGCCAGGGATGGAACAGCCACAGTGCCACCTCCCGGCCACCTCTTGGAGTCAAACTTGGCACCTACACCGCAACAAGACGTGGAAGCGGCTGCCTCCACCTTCACCCGCCCCCAGAACACACAGCAGAAACGTTTTCCTCTTTCCAGCCTTAAGGGACCTTCCCACTTCTCTCTTGTTCCTCCTACCTGCAGCTGGTAAGGTTTTCCAGCCCGGATTAGCTGTGATACCAGGAAGTTGGTATGAAAAAAGTGCACATTCTCATCCAAAAAGCCATGGAGGATCAGCAAACGATTTGGCCTGGGGACGGGATCAGAGAAAGGATGTGAAGCCACATAAAAAGCTCTGCAGAGGGTCTAAGCAAAGAGCTGCCAGCTGGCAAGCCAAACCAGCAACAGCCAGGCAGGCGGTAGAATAAGGCCCCAGATATGGCCCTCAACCCATCCCTGCCAAAGGAGGTGCAATGCCCCAGCTTGCTGCAGAAGGCAGCGACCAACCAGGAGTTGAAACAGATCGGGATGAGAATCCATCCATCCTTTTAGGATTCAGCAGAGATACAAGCGGAGCTGGGAGCAGGTTTGGAGCAGATCACTCAAGCCCATGGTACTCACTCGTTGGGAAGCTTTTCTACGTGTAATGCCACAGAGCCAGCCTCATAACCTTGCTGGTTGTTTTCTGGGATATCCATGTACCGCTCAGTGTAGCCCGTGTCATAGGCCATCCAAACTGTGACAGGAGCACCTGCTATAGCAATCTGTCAAACAAATGGGGGGCAGGAGACAGCCTCAATTATCAAGTGCTAAAGAGGTCAAGCGTTCCCTGTTTTCCTGAAGGGGAAGGAAAACCAGGTTCTGCTCTGTTCCGTCACTCAGACCAGGGTTGCTCTTCAGCAAACCCACATAAAACCCAGATTCCTCCCCCTGCTGTTCCTCTTAGAGTCACAATGTGGTAAATTCCTGCGCACTAAAGGCTTCCCCTTTTCTAGGGGGACTTGTGGAATGATCCAGAAACACTGCTGGGGACTTGGGAAGGGATTAGGAACAGCACATCAATTATCTCATTGAATGCTAGGCTAAATCCACCCTGAGCAGCCGCTGGGGTATAACAGCACCCCAGTGTCAGACAGGTATAACCTGTAAGCAGAACGCAGGGCTGCTGCCAGGAGCTAGGGGCAGGCAGGACTGAGGGACATGTTCACCTCTGGCAGAAGCATCAAGCAAAAAACCCAATTCCAGATGCCAAGAGTGACAGACGCTGAGGGAACCAAGTGTCCCAGGATAACAGCCCCACACCCAGACTCACCTTGAAGACATTGGGTTTACAGATAAGCCCCATGAGGGAGAGGAAGCCCCCGTAGGACCAGCCATGGATGGCCACCCGACTCAGGTCGATGAACCCGTATTTCTCTGCTACATAATGTAAACCTTCCACCTGGTCCTCTATCTCCACCTGACCCTAAAAGGCAACAGAAGCAGCTGAAGTTAATGGCTTTCTACATCTAGAAGCTCCAGACAGAAAGGACAAGAGCAACGCTCACACAGGCAAAGTGCAAGCTTAGGAAGAGCAATGAGCAGAGGCACCGACACAAGCAGATCGTTACCATTTGGTTTTTCAGGGCCCCCTCAAACTTGAGTCCTCGCTGGCACGATCCCCTTCCATCGATCACGACCACAGCGTAGCCCAGGGACGCCAGCGTGTTCAGCCGCAGGTACTTGATTCCTTTGAAGGAATTATTCACAAGCTGCACCTGCACGAGGAGAGAAGCAAAGCATGAGAGCTGAGCAGCTGCCTTCCAGCCCCTTCCTCTCCTGTCCCACTGGGTAGGATCCCGAGCCGGCGGGCAGCCACTGATGGAGCTATCAGAGCCATGCAAATCACACTACATGCTGTTAAAACCATCTGAGGTTTGAAGCAGAGGTCAGAGCAGAGCTCCAGTGCTCATCGCTAGCCAAAGTGTAAGTCTTAGTGCATGACCAAGCTACACAGAGCTCTGCCCTGGGCAGCAATCCCATGCCTGACACCAGCAGTGGATTCTTACCTGAGGGCCTCCGTACACAAAGAGCACTGTGGGATGCTTCTTCCCAGGCTGGACATCATGAGGTTTGTAGACCATCCCATAGAGCTCAACATCTGAGTGGGTGCGGAAGTGGAAGATCTCAGGTGGGATGTAATCTGGGGGGCAACCTGCAGAAGGAAGGTCAGACACTGGCAGTGCAGTAACTGGCAGCAAGCTCTGCCTCCCAGACAAGCTCCTTCTGTTCAAACTTGACTTAGTTGGGGCTCTTTCAACACCAAACCACAGCAGAGAAGCCTCTCACTGTGAAGCACACAGCCTCTAACTGCCTGCATAGGGCACCAGGCCATAGACAGTGAAGGGATCACACAAGAAAACATCATCAGCTGGGTATTCTCTATACCACAACAGCAAATGTGGAAGGTTAAGGATGACTCACACAGACATAACCATGATCTCCAGAACTTACTGGCTGCCTCCATCATGCTAGCCCAAAACTTGGGCTGCTTGTGGAGCGGGTCATCATCGGGGCCGCTGAGCTTGTAGACGTGCACACAAGGTGGACTGCTCACGCTGCTGTAGTGGCTGATGAACATGTCAAAGTTCTGCAGATGGGAGAGAGGAGAGTTAGGGGAAGAAGGTCTTTCATTTCCCACATCTCAGCTCAGACAAGAGCTCCCACATCTCAAGCAACCAAGACAAAGAAGCCCTCAGGACTCGTTACTGGTCACGATTCATCACCGTCCCTAGTTAGGAGCCCTGTCAGTCAGGAGATGAGGGCATCTTGGGTCTAAGAAACAACAGACCTGGCTCATTGAGCAGCTGTGGGAGAAGCCTGGAGTCGTGAGTCGCACGATCTCTCCAG